GGGATCCAAACCTGTGGCCTTGGTGTTATCAGCACCGCACTCTCCCAAGTGAGCCACAGGCTGGCCCATGGATTTCTCTTTTTAAAATATGAAATTAGAATATAAGATTATTACAGCTAACTGATTTTAGTAAGGAGCCTGGTATTCGTTGTTAAAAAAAGGACAGTGTGGAGCTGCAGCACCGAGAGGTTAACGTGGGCAGGGCTCAGGCCTGCAGCATGCTTTGCATTCGAGGACAGACCCCAGGACCGCAGAAGTAGGGTTAGTGGGAGCACATCCATCGTGCCCTTCAGAACCAGGCTGGTGAGGGAGTGCAGAGCAGGGCGGGCCGTCAAGGCTGCGCCGGGCTGCCCAGGCCCATGTAGATGGCCTTCTCCAGGCCGTCCACCACCTTCGTGTACTCCAGGAAGGCGGGGTAGTGTGTGCACTCAAAGCGGCTGCTCCCGCGCACGTGTGCCAGGAAGTCTGGTGTTCCCGGGCAGATGACGTTGTCGGCCAGCAACACGGTCCCCTTCCGCAACAGGCCATGTTCCTTCAGGGGACAGACAGAAATGGGTAAGGGTCAGGGATACCAGGCAAACCCACCTCAAACCAGAACAGTTGCCCTTCACCAGGCTGAGACTCCACACGCTGGCCTGTACCTGGCCCTGAGGCCTGGGACTCCTTGAGGCCTTCCATTTTCTCCCTGGCAGTGGCCACTGCAGGAAAGGGCTGTGCTCCAGTCCCACCTCTAGAGTGCTGGCTCGATGAGGACAGGGACCTTTCACTCCTTCCCTCGCTCCTGTATCCATCCCTAGCCCCTAGTATAGCATGTAGCACACACAATAGGTGCTCAATAAATGCTAGCTGAGTGGAGGAAACAGTGGAGCCACAGGCCAGTGGGTCCCTAAGACACCCAGTGCTGGGAACACGGGCACCTACAAGTGAGAGGTGAGGGGACAGGGGCAGCTCAGCCACTGGAGGCAAGACCAGCCTGACCAGGGTGACCCTGCGGGGCTGGGGGTGGGGCCAACCTCTCCACCGACATGTGTGTCCCTGGGGTTCTGCTCTGGACATCCCCAAGCTCCTGCATTTACAGACCCCCATCTCTGTTGGTGCCTGGGCCCTGGGAGGACGTTGGGGTTCCTAAGCCTGTACTCTGTGCAGAAGGAAGGAATTGTTACTGGATATGCAGCCACAGGTAGTCGCCCCCAGGGCCTGTCCTCAGGGGAGAACCCTCATAGGACGCTTGTGTGTCTACGCTGGGAGGAGGACCTGCTTACATCGCACAAAGTAATAGAGAAACCTTGAGAAGAGGTATTTGTCTTCAGGAGAGCAATAGATCAGGGCAAGAGATGCTTCAGTCACTGTCGCTTAGAGATTTGACTTTCAAAGCATGGAGGATTCTTTGTACGTAATCATAAAACAAAAGTTAGAAAGAAAGAAAAAAAAACAAACCTCAAACATCTGAAGCAAAACCAAATTGCTGGCAGTAGTGGTGTCTGCAATTGACTTGTAACCACTGGCAATTGACCCTGCCCCCTCCAGGGCTGTGGTCTATGGATGTCAGTCTTAGTGTTCCCAGCTCTTCTAGGGTGGTGGCTGGGCATTTCCGGCCTGTGGGCTGCAGGAGGTGCAAGGTCAGTGAGGTGAGGACGCAAGCCCATGCTCCAGATTTGAACAGGAAATACTACTACGAGTCATAATGTATTTTCTCTTAGAAAAAAGAAAAAAAAAA